CCAGGACCCCGTTTTTTGGGGTGTTCATGCCCAGGGGGTCCCCCAGGACCCCCCCAGGACCCCCCAAATCTCCCCCCAGACCTTGGGGTGTCCCCTGACGGCGCAGTTGAGGGCGGTGGAGTAGCCGGCCACGGCGCTGCGATCCACCAGCGGCGTCAGGAACTGCGGCGCCGAGCGCAGATCCCGCTCCTGGAACTGGGGGGGCTTCAAACGCAGCTCTGGGGGGGTCCCCAAAAACAGGCAGGGACACCCCAAAAAAAAAAAAATTAAAAAAAAAATTAGTTTGGGTTGAAATTTGGGAGTTTTTTGGGGTTTTTTTGGGGTTTTTTCGGGGTCATGGGGCTGGCCCAAATCCCTTTGATCTCACCCAAAAACGCCTCAAAAACGCCTCAAAAGACCCAAAAAATCAGCCCAAAATCACCTCAAATCCCCCCAAAACACCCCAAATCCCCCAAAAACACCCCAAAACCACCCCAAACCATCTCAAAAAACACCCAAAAAATCCCCAAAAAACACCCCAAAAACACCCAAAAAATCCTGAAAAAACACCCAAAAAATACCCCCAAAAACACCCAAAAATACCCAAAAAATACCCAAAAAACAACCCAAAAATACTTAAAAAACACCCAAAAAATCCTCAAAAAACACCCAAAAACCACCCCAAAAATCCTCAAAAAATACCGAAAAGACACCCAAAAAACACCCAAAAAATATTCAAAAAACCCGCTAAAAACACCCAAAAAACAACCAAAAATACCCAAAAAATACCCAAAAATCACTCAAATAACACCCAAAAAACACCCAAAAAACCCCCAAAACACCCCCCAAAAATACCCAAAAAATCCTCAAAAAATACCGAAAAACACCCAAAAAAACCCAAAAAAACACACAAAAAACACACAAAAACACCCAAAAAATACCCTAAAAACACAAAAAAAATACCCCAAAAATACCCAAAAAATCCTCAATAAACACCCTAAAAACACCCAGAAAACACCCAAAAAATCCTCAAAAAACACCCTAAAAACACCCTAAAAACACCAAAAAACACCCAAAAAATACCCAAAAAACTCCCAAAAAACACACAAAAACACACAAAAAATACCCTAAAAACCCCAGAAAATACCCAAAAAACACCCAAAAAACACCCAAAAAATCCTCAAAAAACACCCAAAAAACATCAAAAAAATACCCCAAAAATACCAAAAAAATCCTCAAAAAATACCCAAAAAACACCCAAAAAACACCCAAAAAATACCATAAAATAACGAAAAAATACCCAAAAAACACCAAAAAAATCCTCAAAAAATACCGAAAAAATACCCAAAAAACACCCAAAAAATCCTCAAAAAATATAGAAAAAATACCCAAAAAACACCCAAAAAATACCGGAAAAACACCCAAAAAACACCCAAAAAATACCCAAAAATACACAAAAATACCAAAAAAATACCAAAAAACCACCCCAAAAATACTTTAAAAATACCCAAAAAATCCTCAAAGAATACCAAAAAAATACCCCAAAAATACCCAAAAACCACCCCAAAAAATCCGAAAAAACACCCAAAAAACACCCAAAAAATCATCAAAAAACCCCCTAAAAACACCCAAAAAACACCCAAAAATACCCAAAAACCACCCAAATAATACCCAAAAAAATACCCAAAGAACACCCCAAATTACCCCAAAAACACCCAAAAAACACCCAAAAAACACCAAAAAAACACCCAAAAAATACCCAAAAATACCCAAAAAACACCCAAAAAATCATCAAAAAACACCAAAAAAACACCCAAAAAACACACAAAAAATACCCAAAAAATCCTCAAAAAATACCGAAAAAATACCCAAAAACCACCCAAAAGATCCTCAAAAAATACCCAAAAAACACCCAAAAAATACCCAAAAAACACCCAAAAAATACCATAAAATAACGAAAAAATACCCAAAAAACACCCAAAAAATCCTCAAAAAATACCCAAAAATCACCCAAAAAATACCCAAAAAACACCAAATAAACACCCAAAAAATACCCCAAAAACTCCCAAAAAACACACAAAAACACCCAAAAAATACCCAAAAAACACCCAAAAAATCCTCAAAAAACACCCAAAAAATACCCAAAAAAACCCCGAAAAATACCCAAAAAATACCCAAAAAACACCCAAAAAACACCCAAAAAATACTTTAAAAACACCCAAAAAATACCAAAAAAATACCCAAAAACACCCAAAAAATCCTCAAAAAATACCCAAAAAACACCCAAAAAACACCCAAAAAATACCGGAATAACACCCAAAAAACACCCAAAAAACACCCAAAAAATACCGGAATAACACCCAAAAAGCACCCAAAAATACCCCAAAAATACCCAAAAAACACCCAAAAACCCCCCAAACCCCCCCGATGGGCTGTACCGGCTTTGGGGATGACGGCGGTGTTGCAGGACAGCCCCAAAACACCCAAATACCCCAAAAAACACCCCAAAATCACCCAAAACCCCCCAAACCATTTCAAAAAACACCCAAAAAACACCCAAAAAAATACTCTAAAAACACCAAAAAAATACCCCAAAAATACCCAAAAAATCCTCAAAAAACACCCTAAAAACACCCCAAAAACACCAAAAAACACCCAAAAAATACCCAAAAAACTCCCAAAAAACACACAAAAACACACAAAAAATACCCTAAAAACACCAAAAAACACCCAAAAAACACCCAAAAATTACCCAAAAAATACCCAAAAAATACCCAAAAAACTCCCAAAAAACACCCAAAAATATCAAAAAAAATACCAAAAAAACACCCAAAAGATCCTAAAAAAACACCCAAAAAACACCAAAAAAATACCCAAAAAATACCCAAAAAACACCCAAAAACACCCAAAAAATCCTCAAACAATACCGAAAAAATACCCAAAAAACACCCCAAAAATACCCAAAAATACACAAAAATACCAAAAATATACCAAAAAAACACCCCAAAAATACCCAAAAAACACCCAAAAAAAACCCCAAAAATACCCAAAAACCACCAAAAAAATACCAAAAAAACACCCAAAAAATACTTTAAAAATACCCAAAAAATCCTCTAAAAACACCCAGAAAACACCCAAAAAACACCCAAAAAACACCAAAAAAACACATAAAAAACACCCAAAACCCCCCCAAAACCCCCCAAACCCCCCCAGATGGGCTGTACCGGCTTTGGGGATGACGGTGGTGTTGCAGGACAGCCCCAAAACACCCAAACACCCCCAAAACCATCTCAAAGAACACCCAA